GCTCCTAGTAGCGATGCCAGGAGTCCCTAGTAGCGTCCTTGCTCCTAGTAGCGATGCCAAGAGCCCCTAGTAGCGATGCCAGGAGCCCCTAGTAGCGTCCTTGCTCCTAGTAGCGATGCCAGGAGTCCCTAGTAGCGTCCTTGCTCCTAGTACTGGCTCCTAGTAGCGATGCCAGGAGCCCCTAGTAGCGTCCTTGCTCCTAGTAACGATGCCAGGAGCCCCTAGTAGCGTCCTGGCTCCTAGTAGCGATGCCAGGAGTCCCTAGTACCGTCCTTGCTCCTAGTAGCGATGCCAGGAGCCCCTAGTAGCGTCCTGGCTCCTAGTAGCGATGCCAGGAGTCCCTAGTAGCGTCCTTGCTCCTAGTAGCGATGCCAGGGCCCGCGTCCTTGCTCCTAGTAGCGATGCCAGGAGCCCCACTAGCTTCTTTGCTCCTAGCAGCGATGCCAGGAGTCCCTAGTACCGTCCTTGCTCCTAGTAGCGATGCCAGGAGCCCCTAGTAGCGTCCTGGCTCCTAGTAGCGATGCCAGGAGTCCCTAGTAGCGTCCTTGCTCCTAGTAGCGATGCCAGGGCCCCCTATAAGTCGTATAAGTAGCGTCCTTGCTCCTAGTAGCGATGCCAGGAGCGCCAGTAGCTTCTTTGCTCCTAGTAGCGATGCCAGGAGCCCCAGTAGCTTCTTTGCTCCTAGAAGCGATGCCAGGAGTCCCTAGTAGCTTCCTGGCTCCTAGTAGTATGCCGGGAGCCCCTAGTAGCGTCCTTGCTCCTAGTAGCGATGCCAGTAGCCCCTATAAGTAGCGTCCTTGCTCCTAGTAGCGATGCCAGGAGTCCCTAGTAGCGTCCTTGCTCCTAGCAGCGATGCCAGGAGCCCCTAGCGTCCTGGCTCCTAGTAGCGATGCCTGGAGTCCCTAGTAGCGCCCTTGCTCCTAGTTAGTAGCGATGCCAGGAGCCCCTATAAGTAGCATCCTTGCTCCTAGTAGCGATGCCAGGGGCCTTAGTAGCTTCTTTGCTCCTAGTAGCGATGCCAGGAGCCCCAGTAGCTTCTTTGCTCCTAGTAGCAATGCCAGGAGCCCCTTGTAGCGTCCTGCCTCCTAGTAGTGATGCCAGGAGTCCCTAGTAGCGTCCTTGCTCCTAGTAGCGATGCCAGGAACCCCTAGTAGGGTCCTTGCTCCTAGTAGCGATGCCAGGAGCCCCTAGTAGTAGCGTCCTTGCTCCTAGTAGCAATGCCAGATGCCCCTATAAGTAGCGTCCTGGCTCCTAGTAGCGATGCCAGGAGCCCCTAGTAGCGTCCTTGCTCCTAGTAGCGATGCCACGAGCGCCTGGTAGCGTCCTTGCTCCTAGTAGCAATGCCAGGAGCCCCTATAAGTAGCGTCCTTGCTCCTAGTCCTAGTGGCGTCCTTGCTCCTAGTAGCGATGCCAGGGGCCCCTATAAGTAGAATCCTTGCTCCTAGTAGCGCTGCCAGGAGCCCGTAGTAGTAGCGTCCTTGCTCCTAGTAGCGATGCCAGGAGCCCCTAGTAGTAGCGTCCTTGCTCCTAGTAGCGATACCAGGCCTTGCCCCTAGTAGCGATGCCAGGAGCCCGTAGTAGTAGCGTCATTGCTCCTAGTAGCGATGCCAGGAGCCCCTAGTAGTAGCGTTCTTGCTCCTAGTAGCGATGCCAGGAGCCCCTAGTAGTAGCGTCTTGCTCCTAGTAGCGATGCCAGGAGCCCCTAGTAGCTTCCTTGTTTATAGTAGCGATGCCAGGATCCCCTAGTAGCGTCTTTGCTCCTAGTAGCGATGCCAGGAGCCCCTAGTAGCGTCCTTGCTCCTGGTAGCGATGCCAGGAGCCCCTATAAGTTGCATCCTTGCATCAGCTAGCTGAAGTTTCTCTTCGTTTAGCATAGTGTGCCCCGCTCGAACTCGAACTCGAACTCGAACTGAAACAGTTATACAGTATTGATGAACTTAACCTTGAAAGGATATATATGGAAGGAACCGAACTCGATCTCGAACTCGATCTCGAACTCGAACTGTTAGAAGTCAACCCAGTGGACGAATAGAAAGAGTCGAACTCCAAAATCGCTGTCGTCGATTCGAATTCGAACTCGAACTCGAACTGGTCCCCCCCCCGGTGTCAAAATTGTCGTCGATTCGAAATTTGATCTCGAACTCGAACTGCGTTTCCCCCCCTCCGGGCGTCAAAATTGTCGTCGATTGGAATTCGAACTCAAACTCGAACTAGTTCCCCCCCCGGAGTGAAAAAATTATCGTCGATTCGAAGTCGAATTCGAACTAATGCTGCGTTGTAATGGCTCCTTCCTATTCTAAATTTCACCTTCAAATGGCCCATAACAGGAATGCTACAGTGTAATATAATGGCTCCTTCCGGCTGTAAATTTTACCCTCGGGTGGCCCACAAAAGGCATGCTACGTTGCAATGGCTTCTTCCTTTTCTAAATTTTACTTTCGAATGGCCCATCAAAGGAATGCTACGTTGTAAATCGTTGTAATGGCTCCTTCCTACTCTAAAATTTACCATCGGGTGGCTCACAAAAAGAAATGCTTCGTTGTAATGGCTCCTTCCTGCTCTAAATTTTACCCTCGGGTGGCCCACAAAAGGCACGCTACGTTGCAATGGCTTCTTCCTTTTCTAAATTTTACCCACAAAAGGCATGCTACGTTGCAATGGCTTTTTCCTACTCTAAACTGTATCTGTGGCCCACAAAAGGCATGCCACGTTGCAATAGGCTTCTTCCTATTCTAAATTTTAACCTCGGATGGCCCACAAAAGGGATGCTACGTTGTGGTCAGATGGTTGGTTGCTGCTGGCGCCGCTGGCAGGTGGCTGTTGGTTGGTTGGTTAGCAGGTTTTTTT